AGCTGCTGGGTGTGAGATACGAAACTGAATCAAATGCAGGCTGTCTTCGCAAGACATCACAGATGGCAGACTGGTTTTGATACAGGAAGAAGGGCAATAGCAGAGGAGGGCTTGCTAAAGAAGAACATGGAGCTGCTTTCTGAATACCTATGGATGGCAGAAAGCGGAAGAGCTGGGAGAGAGACAGAGCACCAGAAATTCCCAGAAAGGCAGGGAGAAATGGCCTGTGTAAAAGTTAGTGCCTTCTATGCTCATTAAGCTGAATGGTGGCCCAGGGGCATTCCCGGGCTTTGGTTTGAGTCACCAAAGTCTCATGCTCTGGATGAGATTGATGATGATGACATTTCAGGCATACTTAGTACTTTTTGCCTCTTTTAAGAACTATTATTAAACAATATTGCCTTTCAGCTGTAGCAAATCACATGGATGTCAGGGAAACATCATGGCCCTGCCAACCACCGCAGCCTGCCAGCTATGAAAAGCAGGGCAGAAGGAAACATTTGGGTGCTGGCTCTGACTCCACTCAGGATCAGGACCCTTTGAAATGTCAGGCAAGTTGAAGGGATAGGTAGTAGTTTAGCACACTGTTGTGTGTTGCCCTGGATGTTGAAACGGGGAAAAAGATATCGGCTGCATAACTGTAGTGAAGCCAGCTGAATAACACTAATAGTAAAATAAGCTCCAAAAGTAATGAATTGGAACCTTCCTACACTACTGGAAAAGATGGACTCCATGTTTAGATTTGGATTTGTCAATCCTGTTTCTTCCTTAACTCCAAATTAGACTACAGTCCTCAGCATGGAAGAAAGAATTAGAGGTATTAATTTAGTTTAGACCCCATCTTTTATTTGTAATAGATTTTTGTATTGATATGACTTAGCAACTTTTTCATTAAGTCAGTTATTAAGGGTCGATATTGTCTAGAGATTATAATATGAGACCTTAAAGTTTGAACTCTGAGATTCTGTTTTTGGGTTCTCTGACTGACTGTGCAGCTTTAGATAAAGTACCCTGCATCTGTATTTTGCCATTTTTTAAATGTAGTAGTTATTGCCTTTACAGAAGAGATGTTTGGTTATGCAGCTTTCAGACACCGTGGAACATATGTGAGTTTTAGGTACTGCGGCAGTCATTCGTTCACACTCACTGCTTTCTGAAGAGAGGTATGTATTCTGCAAAAATGTTACAAAGGCTTTTAATAGTACGTGTAGAAAACCATCAAAATAAGGACAAGGTACTCTGTCTTGACATTACTTTAGGGTGAAGTGCTAAATAATTGAGTAGCCTCAAAACCAGTTTTGCAGATAGGATTGTTACATTTCTCCCTGGTGTTTCCTGAACAAGCATGTGATCTTATGTGCTGTACGAGTGGGGCTTCCTGGGAGCTTTGGCCCTTTTGTGCGGGCACAGTGCAGGTGGTCAGCACATGTGCAGTAAGCCCAGAGGTGTCCCAGTGTACAGTATGTACACTGAAAGGCAAGGCTGAGCGTTTCCTGGGAAAATGTGCACATGCTTTACTGTAGCCCACAAGTAGTTCCCATAAGTTTATTTGTATAAATAAGCCTATTTATTTTTAGCAGTTGGAGGTTAAGGAGTTGGTTACCTAACAGATGGGATTCCAGCTGCGACTGGATCTCTGGGTGGTACTAGAACATATAGTAGTATTTTAAAACCATAAATGGGTTGAGGTTTGATGACAGCTGAATCAAATTCACTCTCAACAAAAGTGAACTTCACTTAATATTTCAGTGCATCTGGGTTGAGTTGCAAGATTAAAATACAACCCAAATCAAGTGGATTTGGTGTCTGCTTTCATAGTGAAAGTTCTCCAGAAGTGAACCTAAGTTGTTGGAAGAGATTTTGATACTCTAAGCAAATCTGGTTCCAAAATCTCTGGGCTTGTTACTTCCAGTTACCTTAATAGATCTTTGTGATGTGAACCTTGAATTTAAGATTGTCATGACTGTTTAATTATTAAGAAATTTAGGCCTGTCTTATTGTACAGGGCAGAGAAACAAGAAGGGAGAAAATAAAAAGATGACGACCTTTTCCTGTCTAACTCATTTATACTTAATACAGCTACTGACTAGATAACTTCCAAAATAATATTGGGCTTTGAATCTGCAACCTTCAGATCCAAAACAGAAGTCACTTACACAGCAGATGTGAGGGAGGCTCCATTCCATAGTGACAGTAGTGGGACACATTTTTGTGTGCAGAATAAGCTATTAGTTGCATTGCCATAAGACACTTGCTGGGATCTAAAATGATGGGTCTGAGCATCTGTTGACTGCATTTATGACCCGTAAGTACACGTCATTGCTCTTTTGATCATGTTGTGCTATTCAGTGAGGGATGAGGCAGCAGAACATCACTACTCCATCAGCTATCCCCAGGGCCAGTGATAAAAAAATCTGTCTTGTGCTTATGGAAGCACTGCAACTATTTCTGAATTGTGTGTGAAAGCACTTGCTGAGACTGGCATTGCTCTTCAAACTGCAACTTGGTCTTATTTCTAGACATTAAGTTCTCCAGGAAAGAAAAGTGTGTTTGTTAGCATCCTCTTCCTTCTGCATTGTGTACAGGCTCCTTATTCTTACCTTTAGAGCTCCTTGTGATGTGGCTGTCGTCAGAGAAATTTTGATAGAACTGTTTTCCCTGGAAGAAAACAGATGTGTCAAAATAAAGGCATTTTGAGAAAACATGATAGTCTTGCTAAAATTAAAAAAAAATACAACCTCTTGGTATTTTGATAACACATGATAAAAAGACTATCATGAATGTACTAAAACTTACAAACAGCTAAAGCAGTGTAAATCAGTTTTATCCAAATGAAAAGTTTTTGTCAGTCTAATTAGGGGGAAAAAGAGGATTTTTTTGCATCCTTTTTGTAGAAGTGCAAAGCAGGTAAGCGTAAGAATTAATTCGGTTGTCTATGGTAAGAAGCGTTTAAGACTGATTTTGAGCTCCTTTGGACAAGTATTCATTAGCACTGTTGGACTCCTACCTATCCTATGAATAATGATTGTGTTGTCACATGCCATACAGTCTAGGTCTAATTTACTATTTTATCTCCTTGGTTGTTTCCTCTTACCTGTGTAAGGAAACATTCCTTGCAGTTTACAACTGTGGTGAATGTATAGGAGCACCGAGCAGATACACTATAGATACGATAGCCTCAGTTTGCCAGTGAACAAAAGCAGTTGAAGGAGGAATGCACACCTTGATTACTATCATTTGCTTTGACATTTATGCTGTAGAATGTGTCAATGCAAATGTTCATGAATTGCATTCTAGGTCTTTTATGAAAGCAATTATTACATGTCACTTTTTATTTCAAATAGATGGGCTAGACACTCCAGTATAATAGTTGGAGCAGACTGATCTATGTTTCCCCTTCCTGCACGTGGAACTAACATTAAGATAAATAAGAGTCACGCTCCTCTCTTCACTCCAAATAACAGGCTACTCCAATTAACTGTGCTTTGTGGTTGTCATTCTAGTCTGGAGTTGCAACCGTGTTTTTCTCTTGAGGGAAAGGTGGGGCAGAGGCAAAGTTAATTCACATTGCTTTGGAGTGCCCTGAATCTTTCCTTGTTTTCTATGCCCACATTATTATTATTAACTCTTTCTTAGCTGTTCCTGTTAAAAAAAAAGGCAGTAAGCAGATGTGCATTTTTCCTCTTATTTTACTAAATCGCAGATTTTTCCCTCAGATTATACTGCCTTTCCACTGTACCTGTTGTGCTGTGTAGTCAGTATCTTTCCAACATAAAGATGAGTGGATTGTGATCTCCTCAGAGCCTCTAACCTTATGCCTTTCATTCAGTGTCTATACTGAGCAGTATGATGTGCTCCCCTCCCATAGGCTTTGCAAGTGCAATTGGTTTAGGGTTCCCAGGCTGAAGGCCAGAAAATGAATTGTGTGACCCTGCTCACTGCTCACTGAAGCAGCAATATAACTATGGCACCAAAGTTTTTGTATTTTATTCATGATTTTTATCCTCATGTTGCTTGCCATCTAAAAAGTACTTCCGTATACCAACTTTTATAGTGTTATTAAATTAATCCATCTAAGCCATCCTTTGAAATTAAATAAATTACTGCAGTACATACTGAAATTCTGACAGTGGTTGGCAGTGACATGTGTGAGAGTGAATTCAGAGTTGTAGTGAGAGAAAGCCTTTGAAAATGGAGAGAAATACTGTGCAAAGTAAAGAACAGGAAATAGGAAGTTCATTCATATGTCCTCTTATATAACGTACATTTGATGCTTCTCTATCAGTCCTTGCTGGCTGGCTAAGAGGAGCTTAGAGCACATCTTTCAAGGAGTAATTAGCACTGCAATGTGGTTCTAGTTCACAATATTTGTGTAGCTTGCTTAGTTTTTGTATTGAGTATGTTATATAATATCAGACTAATGCAAGTATTCTGCTTGTGTCTAACTAATAACAGGAACACATTCCTTGAGCTAGCTCTGAAACTGTTAATTGACATGTATTCATTTAAAAGGTTGAAACTGCGAAAGGATCACAATATGATAATTAAGAAACTTTGTAATCATAAAAAGGGTCTGATTATACAGCCATTTCATCTTTAAAACATTCTATTATGAATGAAATATTTTATTTTCAAATGTATTTGAGTAGTCAGTCAGTTTTTCAGTAATGTGGCTTCAAAGACTTGCACAAAATATTTATATTTTCTTCACTGTTATTGCTGATGACATGTTAAAAGTGCTAGATACCGCTAAGAAACATTCTGTACTGCATTTTTTTTTTGGAAAGGCTGAAGATCTGTGTTTGTCTGAGTCCAAAGAAGGAAGGTATGGAGAAGGTGATTTAAAGTGCTGGCTCTCATTCTGAATGAATTGATACCTGCTACTTGTTGCTGTCTTGCTTTAAAAACACTATACTTGAAAATGAATCACTGCCAGGTCTGCAGTGAATCAGAACATCCAATCCTTTGTAATCATTTCTTTTTTTCTCTTTTTTAAATAGTAGAATTCAATGTAAGTTGCCGATATGCAGGAGTTTTTCACGTTGAGAAAGATGGTCGCTACAGCCTGACACGAAGTGAAGCAGTCGAACTTTGCAAAGCTCTGAATAGTACCTTGCCAACACTAGAGCAGATGAGAAGAGCTCATAAGCTTGGATTTGAAACTTGCAGGTAAAGAGGCTTTAGGAAAAAATATATAATAACAGGTCCATCCGTGCATACTATAGTGTAATAATTATAGTTGCTTTCATGCAGTTGTTAATCAGATGACCATATCATTCCTTAAGTAATTACTTAGGTAACGAGCAAGAAATGTTTCTGCATGTATGTGTTTGCTCTGGGTCCTGTAATAAATAGGTCCTTGACTGCATGTTCTTTTTATCAGTTCTCTTGAAGAAATCCTAACCTCCTGCAGATAAAGTTGAAAGATAGCAACAGATAGAGAGTATAATAAACTGATAAGTAAGATGTTCAGATCATACTGTATCTCTGGCTAATTCTTAGAGACAAGTAGGTGCAAAGTATTTATGATTTTTAATGACCTGATGTAGGGTCAAAGACTGCAGATTGTGTATAGGGGATTCCATCTTGTCAAGGAGTACTGAAGAGCAGCAAGTGGGACGGTGAGAATTGAACTGCTGATTTCCCAGTGAAAAACTGGCCAGAGTGTTAATGCATCCCTATAATATATGAATGGAGAAGTTTCAGAAGAAGGCCATAAAAATGATAACACATACAAAACCCTTTTGTCAAATGACTTAATCACCCTCTGTAATTAATGATTTCTACGGAACCAAATATGGATAATATGTGAACTCTTCAGTGTACCAAAATATAGCTAAATCAATTGACTGTAAGTTGACCGTAGACAATTTGGGACTAAAAAAATTAAGTAAGCGCTCGTGTAATAAAATACACAGAGATGATAATTATTGGTTGACCACAACTTGTAAGGATTATAGTAGATTCTTTACCACACTAAAATTTCATCAGGATTGAATATTTTTCCAAAGAATGTACTCTAGTTCAAACAGGAATCAAGTTGGGACAGTTCTATGGCCTCTGAGTAGGTCAGAGTAGATGAGAATGTGAGCTTGCTTTACAAAATGCATAATGCATGTATTATGCAAGTCATCCTAAACATTTAGATACAGAAGAGAGACTGAATTCAGGAGCTGTAAACATGAAATGTTTTTTAATCAAATAACATAGATTCATATTGGTGGAATGTTTTTGAGGTGAATAAATTTCAGTAGATTTTCCACTTTAGCAAAAGCTAAAATAAAAAGCAAATACGGGAAAATGGAATTTGTCTTGCAATTCACTGGAGCAGGAAAGTTCAGTGAACATTTCTCCAAAATTCAGAGACTTTCATTCTTGAGTTTGCATTCCATCAAAAATAGTCCTAGTATTGATACTACTTGTAATTATTTCACATGAGGGTGACAATAAGTATTATCAGTTTAGTCAGTGCTATTTTACTTTTTTAACTGTGAAAGCATGCATGTTCTTTCCCCTTGGTTTGCAAACTCATGAGAATTGAGTAAAAGCCATATTTCAAAAAGTCATATTTCAAATTAATAGCTGTATTTGCACTAAGCAATTTGTTTGGTTAGCGTGGAAAGATGTGTAGTGCTTTGAAAACATCGTTCTTATATGTATAAATGCCATGCACTGATATTGATGACAGCATATGGCACATTCATTTTCACCAGTGTTCTGCCTTGCACTGTAGAGAAAGAGCCTAACCATAAATCAGAGAGCAATAGACAGAAACCCCCGGTGATGAGTGTTTTAGAAGATTCTTCCATGAGCGGTGGTAGCATTGTTTAAAATACTGCCAAATAAAGACTAGAGGCAGTTCTTCATTATGAGGGAAAAGTCCTGAATGATAGAGTAGGCAAGTTCTTTCTCTAACATTGACATGTGAACGTACTTAGCATTCTGAATTGTCCAGCACTGCACTATATGTGGAGGCCGTGCATTGAATCCTAACTAAACGCCTAGTGGTAGGAATTTCTAGTGCTAGCAGTTAAGAGAATTTTGCGGTGTGGAGAGTCTTTCCTGAAGTTAAAATGGAAAAATAATTGAAAGAAGGAGTAGAGGGAAATATATTTCACAGTATGGAGCTTGTGTAGTTTGTCATTAACAATACAGTTCTCTCTAATTTACAACTTAGCAGAGGACAAATATGGACCTGCAAGCCATGCAGAAAGGGTTCCTTCCTTCCCTCCACCCTCCCACCCTCTTACTTTTATTTGTTGATCCTGTATTAGAAGTACTTGTCAGTAAGGCCAGACTGTCACCAAGTTTGAGTAGGAGAGAAAAAATATACTGCATATAATACTCAAAATGCATGTGGAATGGAGAGTGAGTGAGATGAATCAACTGACTGTAACACAAGTAAGTGATTAATAGATTATACAGTGTCACCATCATAGGCTCAGTTGGAAGTGTCAGTAAAGCAAATTATTATTCCACCTACAACAGAGATTTAAAATTGCAAGTGTCTGCAAGGCTGGAATGGGACTCAAGGATAAAAACCTGCAAAACTATGAAATTTACTCCTCCCTGATAAGTTGTACGTCTTAAAAAGCAAAACAAAAAACAACCAAACCCCAGTTCTTGTTACCATTGTATCACCCCTCCCAGCTAAATACATGGGAATTAATCAGGTGCTACAGAATTGCAAAATGGTAGTAATGCATTGCACATTATGTAGCTCTGTTAACTACAGTCTTCACTGAAATGTGTGAACTCTGTACACAAAGGCAGCATTGCTCTATCGAAAGAAACAGTAAGAATTCATGGATGGATGAGTGTTGTATCTGAACATTTTATTAAGCCTTCTGCTTTGCAAAAGGGGTATGACTTGCAATCATTCTCTAAATTTGCTCACGTACTGTAAATTGACCCCCAAGTATTTCTCTGTGAAATGGTACTGAGCAATGTGTTATGCTCAAGGTAATGAAAGTGTGACTTCCTGAAGAAGAAAGAAGCCAATCGTTAGTGTCAGGTAATACAGCGTACCACTGAATAAAAAGTGCACTTAGCTTTCCAATCCCTTACTTTCACTGCCTTGCTCTGGAACCTGTCATCTTGGCCAATAAGATACTAACTTAATTAAAAAGGGTTTAGCTCTAGACATGACATGCAAAATGGTGTTGAATGGATCGAGACTGATGAGATTAGCTACGTGTGCAAAAGGAACAACCTTCATGTGCAAAATTATGCATAATGCATGCACATTTTTTTAAATGCTGTAAGATGAAAAGATGGTTTCTTCATGTTTGAGACATCTAGAATGTTTGTGTTGTCAGCTATAATGTATAATATGGTGTGTTTTCCTCTGTTCTTCACAGGTATGGGTTTATAGTGGGGCATATTGTTATCCCACGAATCAATCCTTATCATCTTTGTGCAGCAAATCATACTGGCATTTACAAACTTTCATCAAACACAACTGGTCGGTATGATGCATATTGTTACAATGCAACAGGTATGTATATGCAGTTATGATGTATTTTAGATATAAATTAACTAACAGTAATATGTGTGATCTAGTTATGATCCTGGAACGCTTGTTGAACGTCTTAAGAGTTTGGAAATATCTTGCTGAATTATTAGGAAACCGTAGATAATGTTGTGGCAGATGCTGAACACAGACAGTATTTGAAGGTAAAAACTGTGCTAGCTTCCAGTGTCTTGGATTTCAGCAGACTATTGCATTCACGGTGGATAGAAACAGATCCAACAGAAAGCGCTAGGCAGAATGCAGTGAAGATCTGAATGGCAGCAGTATTTCTGGATTTTGGTCTCGGTGGTCATATCATTAGAAATCACCTTTTCTTTGGCATAGTGTTACTGAGCTGTCAGTCTGCTCCAGAGAACTCAGGCAGAAACAATCCATAGTTGGTTTCAGGAAAGCAGTAAATCTTCTGTCATGCAGGGGTGGCTCTTCTCTTGGGTGCAGCAGGGTCTGTCCCCACTAGAGCTTTATAGCCCCTTCTGAGTCTTATTTCCTTCCTGCACTACGAGCAGATGGCACACACGCGAGCACCAAGCCAGGGCAAGAGGTACTCGCCGACCGG